GAACCCTAAAAAGAATCAATTTCTACATAACACTTATTTCTTGTATGGTGAACTCATTGTCAATTTCATGGAACCAGTTTGAGATAACTTGTGGTTTGTGACAAGCTGCATTATCTTGCTGGAAGTAACCATTAGAAGATGAGTAAATTGTATAAAGGGAGCACATGGTGTTCAGCAGCCATACTCAGATAGGCTGTGGCATTCAAATGATGCTCATTTGGTATTGGGGGGGCCAATGTGTGCCAAGAAAACAATCCCCACACCATAACACCACGACCACAAGCTTGAACTGTTGACGCAAGCAGGTTGTGTCCATGGATTCATGCCAAATTTTGACCAGACTATTTGCATGTTGCAGCAGAAAGGTTTTCCAGTCATCGGTCCAGTGGGGCTGCAATATTGCAAAATTTGATAAATTTGAATAATTAGAATATTCAAAAAGGAAAAGCAATTAGAATAACTTGGGACCTTTAGCCATTTTCATGAAAGCATCTCTTTTAGTGCTTCCTTTTTGTTTTGTCCAACGGAGAGTAGCAGTAGCAGTGCATCTAAAAAGAGCAAGATAATTTGCCCACAAGTCACACAATACAGTATGGTTTTCTCTTTTTCATATCGAAAAAGTCCTGTTCTGTCAAAGCCATGGTGATATCTTGGCAGTAGTGAGAGGTAGAGCTGTTGAGACTCTGGAATTTTTGTGAGAAAAAACATGACTCTTGGCCTTCTGGAGTTCTACATACATCTCAGCAAATGCACATCATAGTCTAATCAGGTTTCAGTTGTTAGAAATGGAAAGCAGCGGATAACAACTCTATGTCAGGACTCTTTAATGAAGCGTCAATGTAAAACTGCTACACACAAGGTGAAATATGTTAGCATGTTTGTCAAAAGCTTTCAAATAAAACAAAAAAGTTTTTTTACAGGCTTCAGATGTACAAGTTTAATTAGAATGACCAAAAAAATTTATAGTTAACTACGGTTTGCTTAGTGCTTACATACTACTAGAGTCCCATGGGGCGCTAACAACAATTAGCATTATCACACGTAGGCATAGTGCTAATAGTCACAGTTCCCTACTGGATTTTACCATATAGTGGCTACAGAGATAAGCTCAAAAATTGTAACTCCCAAGACAAATCAAACTTGCAATGGGGACCTGTTAATATAGACCTTTCTTATAGTTATTGCATCATCAAATCAAACTTGCAATGGGGACCTGTTAATATAGACCTTTCTTATAGTTATTGCATCATCACATCCGGCTGTCATTAGTAATTTTATCGAACTTCTGCCTGCAACATCTAACAGAGCAGGATAAGAGGTTTGTTGGTTTTCAGCCTCCCTCAAAAATCTTTGGCCAATTCTCAGTGCAGAAAATAGAAGAGCAGCTGGCGTTTGTGATAGTTCCATCCAACATGTACAAAAGGCTAGTTTGACTTGTCCAAAGCGATTTGCGCAAAAGTCGAAGAAAACATTTGAACTTTGCATGACCCTGCACATCTGCTGCAGCATACTCAGTTTTCTGCTGAGCTCAAAGCAGAAAGGAATGAAGTGGAGAGAGCAACAAAATTGCTGTTTGGCAGAGTTCCATTCTCACCTGATTAGATTTTTATGTCTAATCATAATAATAATAAATAATAATAATAATACCATTAAAGAGAGGTAACCTTAGCTATTATTGTTATTATTATTATTATTATTATTATCATTATTATTATTATAGCAATTTTATCATGTGTATCATGAAATCAAATTGCTATTGTACAAATATTCTTAGATATTGTGATATAAATTTGAGCTCATATTACCCAACCCTAACACAGTGCCACAATACTGTTTATGTTTGTAAGGTACTGAAAGATAACATGAATATAAAAGAATGCAAGTGACCTGACCAGAGAGTTAAAGCTGCACTAGTTAAGCTGCCTTTCAGTTAATGCTCATGGTAGTTAACACACACTGTGTGAGAATGGTGATCTAAATAGTTTACATGCATAACAGCTTATATGATTGTTTAGCCACTTTGCTCTTTTTTACATGTGACTAACACTTATGCTTGTTATATAACTTTAAATGTTTTGAAAGTTGAATAAAATGTAATTACTCAGTGGCACACTGAAATTGTTAAAATGGTCACCAATAAAAAAGAATGGTGTCGAAAAATGTGAGAATCTAATCAGTCCATTGTCTAAAAGTAGCCACAGTAATTCAAGTAATAACAGCGTTCCCTCAACCATGCTTAGGCACTCAGCAATGTTGTGTGACTGGTGTCACAGCAGTCCTTGATAAAGCAGCAGTCCTTACAGGCTTACATTCATCTAGATTGATGACACTGTCATGCAGAATGGGATATCATGATCACAAAAAGGTGATAACTAAAACTGTACAAAAATATCTTAAGACATAGGGGGGAATGGTGGGGAAAGAGTCCCATTAAGAACAAAGCTCACTGTTGACGTTTTAAATAATGCTCAATTTATGGAAAAAAAAACATTTTAGTCTATTTTTTTTTCAATGAACTTCTTTTTTATTTCCTTTTTATCAAGTGCAATCGTACAGTACAGTTATATCTTCAAAAACACAACACAGGAATCAGAGATTTATATCTTGGGGGCAGTCCATGAATTTTGGCAGTCCTCTCATTGTCCATAAACAATTCCTCAGGGATAAATAACCAAATTCTTCCATGAACATAAAAGAAGCAGATAGATATGTTTTATAGTAAAGCACATTTACATGACATCAGTTGAAAACAAATATGTAATTACTGAGGACCATTTAGTCAAGAATACATCTGATCTCAATTGTAATCTCGCAGTTATACTTTCCATATAGTAAACATCCTTACTTTTTCCCTCCATTGCATTACCGTGGGGGCTGCGGCCTCAGCCAGGAAACCGTAATCATCTTCTAAGCAATTAGAAGAAGGACTCTCAGTAATGATGTCTGATTTTTCCTACATTTTCTGGTAATATTCCTAATAAAAAATAGGATGGTTCTAAGGGCAACTCTGTATTTAGGCATTTTTTAATTTAATTTTGTATATTTTGTCAGTATTCTGATAACTTTGGACAGTTCCAAAACACGTGTGTATGGTCTCCTACCAGGCCACAGCCCCTCCAACACCGATCAGAGATGCCACTGAATTTTGATGTGACAAGGGGAGTCCTGATAAATCTCATCTTAACTTTCCAAAGAGAAAAAATCTGAACAGCATCCATTCACTCTAACACGTGACTTCGGATTAGTATGTATAACCTTTATCCACTCCACAAACACAGAATGGAATCCCATTGCAGCCAGCGTTTTATACAAAAATTGCCAGTTCACAGTATCGAACGCTTTCTGAGCATTAACATAGAGTTCTGCATATTTTTCTTGGCACATGTTATAACATTTAACGTTCTCCTTATATTATTAACTCCTTGTCTCCCAGGGATAAATCTTGTCTGATCAGGATTAATTAATTTTGCTATAATTTTTTGCATCCTTTTTGCCAGAATATTGGTATCTAGCTTTTGATCATTACACAACAAACTAATGGGTCTATATCCCTCACAGAATGTCAGGTCTTTCCCTTCTTTGTGGATCACTGATATAATGGCCTCTGACCATGTATTTGGTGGATCATCTTTGGAGAGAGCGTAATTAAAAATTTTAGTTAATACTGGTACTAAATCATCCATGAAGCATTTACAAAACTCCCCAGGGAGACCATCTGTGCCTGGAGATTTATTGTTTTTTAATTTTTTTATGGCTTCACATTTCAGTTTGTGTAATGTCTGATATCATTTGCAATGCTTCATCTTCTGACAATGAAGGTAGATGTAAACTAGTAAGAAAGGCCTCAGATTTGTCATTAATTGTTTTTGATTTAGGCTCTTCGTACAAATTTTTATAGAATGATGCGAAGGCGTCCACAATATCCTTTGGATGAGATACTGTTTTTTTAGATACAGGATGTACAATCTTAGGAACCACACGACTGGCCTGGGCCTTAGGAAGTTGAAAAGCTAACAAGCGACTGGCTCTGTTCCCCATCTCATAGTATCTCGGTTTGGAAAATCTTAAAGCTCCTTCGGCTTTATATGTGAGGAGCGTATCCAAGGCCTTCCTAGTTTCTTTTAATTCGAACAGGATGTTGTGCGCTCCTGAAGTTTTATGTTCTATTTCTAATTGCTTTATTTTATTGTCTAGTTTCATTTGCTCTTCCAGTCTTATTTTTTTTTGTCTTGATGCAATCTGGATCATTTTCCCCCTTATAACAGCTTTACCTAAATCTATACTCAACACGACAGGGGCATGATCACTCAGTGTTATCGGTTCGATATGGCAATCTATTACTTTATACATACTAGAATAACTATTATAAACATTGGAAAAAAACATTAGAAAAAACACCCTAAAGGGAAATCCTTCCCTTTAGGATTCTTAGATCTCCATGGGTCAACAAGTCCACATTTCCATACAGTGTGCAGTGATAAGTGTAAGACTCCCCAGTAATGAATTTCAGAGCAGAGTGAATAAATGTAGTGGTTTAAGGCTACTGGTAGATACATATGTCTATAGATTACATCAAGGTTGTTTCCACGATTCTTTTTCAAGCTTGCACTGGGAGATGCATCTTATTTTGTTTAGCTCAGCAAAGAAACACCCAGTTATGTTTAGGGGAACTGAGATCAATATAGTGTTAACAGAGTGCAAGCAGTGACTTTGACAGGCCTATGTATTACAGCCTAACTAAAAAGGGAGAGCCAAAAGGTAGCAAAGACGTGAGGGATCCCTGAGATGCCAGCGCCCCTCCTTTCCACCATCAACAAACTTCAGTGAGTGAGAGCAATGGGATTACAGCACTGATATTCTCAGTTTACCATAATACTCTATGTCCATGAACCCCCAGATCTGCACCTTTTATCTAACAGAAAAAACTAATTACCAAAAGCTTGACTAAACAAGCAGGTTTTTAGCCTAGACTTAAAGACTGAGGCTGTGTCTGAGTCCTGAACACTGACTGGAAGATTATTCCACAGCTGGGGGCTTTGTATGAGAAGGCTCTACACCCTGATTTAACTTTATTAATTCTAGGTACTAATAGTAAGCCAGCACCTTGTGATTTAAGTAGGCATGATGGTTCATAATAAGAGAGACGTTCACTCAGGTACAAGGTGTGAGGCCATTTAGGGCTTTATATGTTAGCAAAAGAATTTTGTAATCAATGCAAAATTTAACCGTCAACCAGTGTAGGTTTGATTAAAACTTGGCTGATATGGTCAAACTTTCTGGTTCTTGTGAGGACTCTGGCTGCAGCGTTCTGGCCTAACTAATGCTTATTAAGGCTTTTACTGGAACATCCAGACACAGGGCATTACAGTAATCAAGTCTTGAGGTAATAAATGCATGAACTAGCTTTTCTGCTTCCTGTAGAGACAATGCGTTTTTTAATTTAACAATATTGTGGAGATGCAGGAAAGCTATTCTAGCAATATTTGTTATATGTGCATTGAAGGACAGATCAGGATCTATCGTGACATGTTAGACAGATCGTTTTTAGCAGCTTTTGGACCAAGAAGAAGAACCTCTGTTTTATCTAAGTTGGGTAGGAGAAAGCTACTCGACATTCGGTCTTTTATGTCTTTTACACAGTCCTCAATCTTATTGATGCCGTGTTTACTGATAATGGTACCCAGTGGTAGCATATATAATTTGAAAAAAGAGGTTCTAAAACAGAGCCTTGTGAAACACCATACTTTCTTTTGCCAGAATACATTTACAAACTGATAGTGATCAGTTAGGTAAGATCTGAACCAGGAAGAAGCTGTTTCTGTCACTCCTACAAGGTTTTCTAGTCTATCTAGTAAGATAGCGTGGTCTGTCGTATCAAATGCTGCACTAAGATCAAGGAGGACTAGCAAAGATACATTTCCTTAGTCAAAGAATAATAAGAGATTGTTTACAATTTTCACTAGTGCTGTCTCTGTACTATAATGAGGCCTAAATCCAGACTGCAGTTTTTTGTGTATGTGATTCCTATGCAAGTAGAATTTATTTGTTGTGCCACAGCTTTCTCCAAAATCATTGATAGAGAGGGAAGATTTGAGTGATGTCTATAATTTGATAGCTCACTGGGATCAAGATCAAGTTTCCTAATCAGAGTTTTAATTAACGCTAATTTAAGAGTTTTTAGTATATAGCAAAGGCTAAGAGAAGAGTTTGTAATTGATAAAAAAGGCTTGTTTATTTCTGGTAAAATTTCTTTGAGTAAACTTGTCGGAACTGGATCTAGTATGTAGAACGTTTTGATGAGGAAATAAATTTAACCAGCTCAGTTTGTTGAAGTAAGGTAAAGGATTCCAGCCTCTTTGCAGCAGTAACACTGTAGTCAAGATCTAGATTTGCTGTGTCTGGCTGTAGGTTTGTAGCAGTTAACTGTGCATTTTGATTTTTTTGCCTAATTGTTTCGAAATTATTATTGAAAAAAATAATTAAGCCACATTGTCTAAAGTAGAATGAAAAGTTTCCTTTAAGCACTCAGTCATAATATTAAATTCTGTAGGATCTGATGGACAGCTGATGAAAGCTGTTAGATCTGAGAGGTTTTTGAGAACCTATTAAGACAAAAGAGAATTTCATACGAGGTTAGGTATAAATGCCTTACTTAGTGGATCCTGAGGTTTGTCAAAGTGGATATTAAAATCTCAGACAATTATTACTTCATTTGAGAGCTTTAATAAACTTGATAGAAAGTCAGCAAATTCCTGTAGGAATTCAAAATGGGGCCCTGAAGGCCTCTAGATTGTAATTAGTGAAAATGAATCCTTATTTGTTCCTCGATCTTCTAAAATAACAAAAAGAATTCTAAAAGAAGAGAATTTGTAGCCTGTCTTCTGATTAATGCCTAAAGCATTTGTATAAATGGTTGCAATACCTCCATCAGCCATTTCAGTAAGGGCTATGTACATAATTGTAGCCTGTGGGGGTGGCTTCATTTCCAGCAAGTATTCTTCAGGTCTAACGCACGTATGTAAGGCATAGAGCATCACACTCATAACCAGTAACGTTTGTTTATAACGACTGCTTTAGATGTAAGAGATCTAATGTTAAGCAAGTTTAATACCAAAGGTGCAGAATGGTTGAACTGGTCTAACGTTGATTAAAATAATAGAACAAACTTTTCGAGGTTTTCTGAAATTTTGTTTGAGTTGGGGAACAGACACTGTCTCAATTAAGTGGAACCTCTGTGGCATCTGAAGGCAGCTAGCAGACAGTCGGTTTAGCCAGACTGTCTGCTGCCTAGCCTTGGCCGTGGTTTGTCAGAGATATTCACAGTGTTAAAAATCCATAATGGGGTTCTGGAAAATAGCATGAATTTAGTTTGCTTTGCATTTAAAACTAGCTTATGCTTATACAGACCAATCTGTAAGACATAGAAAGCACACTGAAGTTTTTCTACTGCTGCGTAAGTCGAACGATATAGAATAGTGTAATCTGCATATCTGCACATGCACTTCGCAGTCAGAGGCAAAGGCAGCAAGATCATTAATAAGTAAATTAAATAAGACTGGGACAAGTATTGAATTTTGTAGGACCCCTTTAATGACTAAATTAAATTTGATTTGTTGTTAGCCAGTACCACATATTGTTGCCTACCTGGGAGGTAGTTTTGAACACGGCTAGCAAAAGCGGTTGTATCTGGTTTGTTTAGTTGCAGTCTCAAATCAGTGCTATCAGGTATGACTGGCTACAGAAAAAGATACATTAAAAGTTTAGCAGAGCTGTTTTTGGTCAGGTCATACATTGGTCAGGTCATACATTGTCAGCTAGTGTGATACAGGTTGAAATAGGGAACAAGATGTTTTTAAAGAGATCATTACCTAACAGACATTTTGAGTATTAAAAGACTTAATTAAGAGTTAGTGATCAAACAAAGATAATAATCTGACTTGGCAATTCTAATGATTGAAATACATGGATTAACTCCCTAAACAAGAGTCAGTAGTCTCTATCCCCTGGCAACAGTCCATGCTTTAGTTCTTACTTTAAGCAATGAGCAAATTTCAGCAGTAAGCCAGGGACTGGATCTATCTTGTATGCAATTTTTTTTTTTTGTAGGGGGTATGTTTGGTTCTCGTCTAGTTTGTCGTCTGAAATTTGAGATGTACTGTGAATTTCACTCAATGCTAAGTCATGAAGAAAGTTTTGCCCAATAAAATGATTAATATTATTGCAGTCTGAAAAGTATCAGTCAGAGTTTCCAGTTTAAAGAATTTGCTCTTGAATTTAGAGTAGAGATTGTAAATTCAAACTGTGTTTTTAGTAGTATCTGTTGCAGTAAAAGATGTAATATTATCTGGTGTAGGGTTCAACTAACTGTCTTCTCTCTCTACAGTTCCTGAGAGTTAGAACTGTCTCTGGCAGCACCTACTTTTGCCACACAGGGATGTCCTTCAAAGGTCAGATGACTAATCGCTTTATGCTGGTGGATTGTAGAATTGTTCTGAGTGGCAACTACAGGTAAAATTATTTGAATATGATTTGTGGAATTGTGTTAGATTACACATTTTCCTAATCTGACATTTTTTGCAGCTTTATGTGGTCTTTCGAGAAGATTCATCGCTGCATAGCTCATGTATTTCTTGGAGAGCTTGTGGCGACCTTTGATGAAGAGTTTCGAATTCTGTATGCCCAGTCAGAGCCACTGGTTACTGAAAATCCCAAGACATATGCAGAAGATTATGGCAATTTACCTGGAAGACACAATATAGGAAACACTCCTATATTTAAGAGAGAATATCCACCCACTGAAGAACATGCAGAATGGCTTGTACGTTCATTTGAAGACGAAATGAATGTACACCCCAAAATGTTAGCCTTTAGGAGAGTTGAATCAATCCGCAGTTCCGCAGATGAGCCTCTTCCAGCACATGCCACAAAGCAATTTGGAAGGGAGCGTTCTTACATGGACCAAAGAAGACTGATGAAAGTCCCAAAAACTAAGGAAATGGGTGGTTTCAAAAGGCATGGGTACACAGGACTACCAAGTTATCCTCAAATGAATGCAGTAAACAGAGAGGAGCAGCATATTGAGGGTTTAGAGATTCAGAGTGCCCACTTTCCAAGGGAGCAGTTTTTCAATCAGAGGACAAGTCTAGAGCCTGGCAATGATGCATATTACAAATCAAGAGACCACAAGTTCCATCAATTAGATCAGGTCCCAGGACCTGATTTTCCTCATGAGATGGATGATGCAGAACTGCCCGGTGATTATGATCATGTCCAGAGATACTTACATTCTTGTCCTGGTATGGAGGCAGCACCTGCTGGGAATTTATTATTGCCTGTTCATTCGACTCCCAGAAGACACAGTATGGGCCAAAGCTACACTTGTCAGACCTCACCAACACAGCCACACCCACCAGATCAGAAATATTTTTTTAATGTACACCACAAACGACAAGACCAAAAAGAAGGATTACGAGATTGGAGGATCAGCTCATATCTCACTGCACTTCAGCACCCAGAACAGGAAGACATGGCAGAATTTCAGAGAACTGATTTTTGTGATAATGTCAGCTATGTCATGCAGGGAAGACCCCGTGAACCTGAAATTTCAGAGACAAGACAAAACAATAGTGAGTTTACCAAGGCTCCTACTTCCAAAGTGAATCTTTTACCTCTTCAGCCCTTGAACCCTTTAACACTGCCTGAGAAGTCACTTGACCTTCCAGTAGACTACCAGACATTACTGACAAGTGCCAGACCAACCCCACCAACAACTTCAGAGTCATCATGTAATACTGAAGGTGACAAACTGGAAGAGATGCAAAACAGAGAACCTAAAGAAATTAATTCAATTCGTGAAGAATTTGTCCGAAGGAGGCCCAATCTAGCTCTCCAGAGAAGTTCAAGATTAAGGCACTCACTCATTTTTAACTCTAATCTAGAACAGCACTCTTCAGAAGACTTAAGACATCCATTGAGCCAGGATGATAGGGATAACCAATTGAAACATCCCCCTGTATTTTTTAATATCCTAGAGAAAAAGAGACCTGTCACAAAGGAACCTTTTCAATGGAGTAGTCTTGTAAAATCTTGGGAATCATCTTCTGATTCTGCACTAAGGACAGACTCTAAAGACCTACCCAGCAAAGAGGAAATTTCTGAGGGAGATAAAGGTGAGACTACTGACATTCTTCTAATAGATTCTGAACACAAAGGAAGCTCTTCTCAGAGGGTACAACCTCAAGATGCCCTTGCACAAAATCCACAAACAACTCAGCGCCCTTCTGTTGCTTTGCAGAGGTCAGCATCCTTCATAGACATGAATGACCCTGAATGTAGACTGAGATATTTCAAGGAGTTAGCTGCAAAACGCAAAACTGAACTTGCACTAGCAAAATTGTCTACCGAAGACAAACCGTCCAAAGAGCCTGTTAAGCCAAATAATTCCCTCTCAAGTGACACAGTTGGAAAAGAGCTTGCTTTAGAGGCCTTAAAAACTCCACAGGCTACAACAGCCATGCTACCTACTTCTCCACAAAAACTGGCTGCGGGCAATTCTCAGGACTCTAAAACTAAAGCACCTTGCTCACAAAACTTACCTGATAAACACCTGAAGCACAAATTATCCTCTGATTGCAAGATGACACAAGAATGTGACAGTTCTTGTAGAGCAATTCCTACAAGTGCCACAGATGCTGAGAAAATTAAACTAAAGCAACAACTAACTGACTCATTCTCAAATACAGTAGAAGACAAAAGTGCCTCTGCTGCAAGTTCAGGAGTACAGTTAAGTACAAATCCCAAACTTACAAGCCAGCTGAGTCCCATTCGAAATGTCTTCTCACTAGACTTTATATCTCCACAGGCTAAATTACCCAAAGTTACTGATTCAGGTGCTTCCAGTTCATCTGTACACACAGAAAAAAATGTAAAACTCAGTCCAGCAGACTCCATTTCTTCCCAGGTTGTGACAGGTGCAAATGTGTCCCTTCAACCCAGCAGCACAGAGCAAATCTCTGCTGATTTGTCACTAACAAATGCTGTTGCAGCAAACCCAAACACTTGTCAACATCCCACTGGAACAGAGACAGGCCTTTCCAAACAGCCTGTTCCAGCAGAGGCCAGACCTTCCCAGCATTCTACTACAGCAGAGACGGGCTATGCTGAACAGACGGACACTTCTCAGCATACCATTGCAAAAGAGACTGGACTTTCTCAACATCACTCCGCAAAAGAGACTGATTCTTTCCAACACACCACTTCAGAAGAGATTGGTGCTTTCCAACATCACACTGCAAAAAAAAACGTTTCTTCCCAACAACTCCCAGCAAAAGAGACTGGTCCCTCCCAACACCGCACTGCGAAAGACATTTTTTCCCAACAACTCACTGAGTGTTCCCAACCCCTCAATGCAGACCCTGCTAAACATCCCACTGAAATGGGGCCTTCCCAACATCTCTCTTCAGTGGTGACAAGTCCTTCCAAATCAGATTCTTCCCTTTATTCAGACCCATCTAAACCTTGCCTTCATTCCTGCACTAATTTATTAAGCACTAGCCCTCCAGCACCATCTGCACAAATGCAAACTATGTTGGGCTTTGCAGGAGAAATCACTCTAAGTATTTTCCCCATTTCTAAGCCACATGCTTCTACCTCCTCTTCTAGTTCTAACATAAAAGATTCTAACCCTCTTACTGCAGTGGCACACCCACCATCCACAACCAACAAAACAAACACCATACCTATCACAGGACTTCTGTCATCAGAGACTACCCTACCTAGTAACATCAGTGAAGTAGAGTTTGGTTCATCCCAGAATGCCACTGCAACAGGAACTGACTTTATTTCTGAATCATCCACAAAAAAGAACTGCTTGTCTGTAAATACGTCACTCAACACCACACTCAATGATGTCAGTCAAAAAGACATGAACTCAGCAAACAAACCATCACCAAATATTTTATACCTAACCAAGCAAAATTCTCTGAACACTGGCTCAATTACCACTCCTCTGCCAGAAACTAGTTCAAATCTAAGCCTGACGTTAACAGAAACCACCCCAGCCAGAAGCACCTTGCAAACAGAGAAATGCTGTGGGCATACTACATCTGATTTGTTTCCTTTACCACTTAACACAGTCTCATTAGAGAGAAACTCATCTAACAGTAGTATGCCATCAGAAACTGACTTGTGTGCAAATGTTACAATAGAGACTATTTCTGTTGCCAGGCCTACTCAAACAGACACAAGCCCATCTACAGAACACAGTCCAGTAGAAACTAGTTCATGTATAAAAATGACTTCTTCACTTATTGATTCTACTCCAAGAGAAAGTATGTTTCCAGAAACTGGCTCAACAACAAACAGTACAAAGAAAGATGTCAGGACATCTCAAAACAATAGCCTGACAAACATTAGCTCATTGATGAAACATTCCCAATCTCATCTTTTTACAAACTGTAACCCTCCAGAATGTAGCTCAACTGCTCAGTCTTTTCAAAAAGATTCTTCTGTGGTGTCAGGTGAGATCCAAACAGTAACCCCCACACAGTCCCTTGTTGACACAGCTCCACTTAATAATGACATTAACCCTACCTCTTTAGTTAGTCTACCTTTAGTGACAGACATTCTAAGCTATACTTCACCAGAGGCCTGCCAGCCTGTAAATCAGTTAGCAGCAGAGATCCAGACAGCTCTGGACATCACCCAATCAGCCTCACGTTTACCACATGACCCTGAATCCAAGGGAAGGACAGACGAAGATCAGAGCAAGGAGTTCACAAAAGAACAAAAGCAGATGCAAGAGGCATCAGTTGACTTTGTGAGGCATGTGGCCGTGGAGGTTCCTATTGACCTGGGCAATGAAAAGGTAGATAATATAAAAGAAACTGCAACTGGAAAAAGTGCTGAAACCAATAATGCTGAGCAGTCTCAGGAACCACAGCCATGCACTGACGCATTAAATCTGCAGCCTCCTGCTGCAGAAAAGCCTACCCACCAGTCCTCCACTGTAAACGTTCTCTCATGCAGCAACCTTAGGGATGACACTAAGGTCCTTTTAGAGCAGATATCAGCAAAGAACCAGGGCAGAGCATCAAAGATGACTGGTACTTGTGATGCTAAGGACAATGGGGCTAATGGAAACACTCAGACAGATAAACAGATGTCCAGTGATCTACAAAGTAGGTCCCAGACTTGGTCCTCCACAGCCTCACCTGAGGAGCGGGAAAAATTGCTTAAAAGGATGGAGAGCATGCGGAAAGAGAAAAAAGTTTACAGCCGTTTTGAGGTAAGTGATATACTGCGTACTTTCCATATTAAGCATAAAAATTTTATGTCAAAAGCTACTGTTCTGGGGTGCGTTTCCCAAAAGCATAATGGTGGAAAGTATCCTCCATTAGTTTGTTCGTTATTCACCATGATTCATCATCTTAGGGAAACTCACCCCATTACTGTTACATGGTGGCATGAAAGAATGTGTAGAGTGGGTCTATGTATATGCCAAAAGGGATTTCACTTATTTTAACACTTAATAATTCTATTGCCTACTAATGTATATATATTTTATGTGTTTCATGTTTAGGCACCGTAATTTGGAAGTAATGAAGAGGAATGGTACAGTTAAACTGTACAGGAAAACTGTATCAGATTGCTTCAGAGATTTCAGCCTTTGTAAAAAAGTACTAACATTGAACTATGCAGATAAACTGTATGACTAACAGCTGCAGGGCCTTTTAATGTTGGATTTTAAGTTCACAGGCCACTAATAAACCAAAAATGTGTAAATAGCTAGATACTGTACATGATTACATAACTCAGTCTCTGGGGTACTGTTAGCAGTTAGAAAGTGTGTAATTAAACAGAGGGGTCTGACCTCAAAAGGGGCTGTCTTTATGTTGCTCTGAACAGTAGTGTCCACTAACTGCAAGTGCCGATATAATCCAAGTATCTACACTCAACGAGCACTTTATTAGGTACACCTGTACATAGGGGTGGGAATCTCTAGGCACCTCACGATTTGATTTGATTACGATTCAGAGGGCTGCGATGCGATTATAAAACGATTATCGATGCATCTTGATGCATCTTTTTTTCTATACAGGATTTCTGTTTTCTCACTGTGTGAGGACTTGGTAGTTTTAGAGCAAAGTATTTGCACACACACACACAAAACACACAGTCATACCTGTAAACCTTACATTGTGCAAAGTATGTGTCTTAAGTTAAAGTGCTGAGTGCAGCAGCAGTTAAAGGGTGACTGTGTGGAAGTGATGTGGTAAGTGAACTAGAAGGCTCTCATTCACTGCCTTTGGAGCACATGAGACGCTGCTGCCACTCACCTGCGATAAAATGCGCAGTTACGGTGGCATAAGATCCAGTGGTAATGGATCTCCACGCAGTGCGTTATAGCCGTCCTACCCGCTTTCTTTAGTGATTTTATAACTTCGGTTTTGGTCCCGTTGTAGAGAGTGTGTGTGTGTGTTGTGGGGGGGGTCGCTGTGTCAGTAAAATATCCCTGAGACGGGACATGTGCAACACAGCGCAAAAGCCCTGTTTCGCAACGACTGAGAATTGGCGTGCAGACTGTAGGTCACATAGCAGCGATGCGTTATTCGCATTTATAAGCAGCGCAGTTGGTTACCTGGCAAGTTAAATCTGCAACGGGAGACTGTCGAACACTAAACGGTTGCAAAGATGAAGTCGCATCTCTTTCAATTTTCCCGTTCCACCTTAAATGGTGCCGCTTTTACATTTGGCACCGCAGTCAGAATTTAAGGTGGAACGGGAAAATTCGAACAAGAAGCTGGAGAATAAGAAGTGACTTCAGCCTCGTAAAACAGTCAAACGTTGAGAGACGTTTTACAATAAACTGCTCTAGTTTTGAGGAAAAGTTTTCTGACGGAGATGGGAGCAAAGCGGTTATTAAAGCTTAAAGCAGAGCAAAGTAAATCTGCGCTCTCATTTATATCGTCTAGCCTATACTAGGACATACTGAGACATACTGGACATTAAATGTTGTGGCTCCCAAGGTTTTTGTTGAAAGGACAAAATGACTCTTCTGAACATTTGGGTTGTGACTCCTCATCTAACCTGGCTTTTAATGCAGAGGCTGCCGGTCGGATTTCGCACTCATCCAGTTGTGTTTTTGTTATGTGCCGCCACAGACTTTTCGGGCGCTGCACTTACCCACTTCCAAGTTCTGCCTTTTGCATTCTGTCAACATTACGTTATAAATTAAATATTTATAAAATCGATTTTTGACATTTGTGAATCAATTCAGAATCGTTCACGTCCGCATCGCGATGCATCTAATCAATCTTTTCCCGCACCCCTACCTGTACACCTACTCATTCATGCAGTTATCTAATCAGCCAACTGTGTGGCAGCAGTGGAGTACATAAAACCATACAGATCCAGCCCAACAGCTTCAAGCAATGTTCGCATCAACCCTCAGAATGGGGGCTGTGGCATGATTGTTGGTGCCAGGCGCGGGCTGGTTTGAGTATTCCTGTAAATGCTAATTACCTGGGATTTTCACACACAACAGTCTCTAGAGTTTACTCAGAATGGTGCAATAAAAAAAAAAATCCAGTGAGCGGCAGTTACAGAATGGAAATGTGTTTTTGATGAGAGAGGTCAGGAGAGAATGGCCTGAGTGGTTAGTATACAATGTTAATATAGTGTTCCTAAAAAAGTGCTCGGTGAGTGTATGTATAATACATATACACTGCTATACAGCTATACTGAGACAGATGGTCAGATTTGTTTGTTGTACAGTAGGCCACACAAGTAATTTTAAGAAAAAATACATCTACTATCCCCTTTTTATGTGAGTTCTGTATTGAACTGAAATGTTGTATATTCAAACTAAATACAAAAGGACTTTTAAAGATGTTATTTGATGATCAGTGATTTCAAGGACTTTATCATATATAAACTTTATATATACTTTATTAAAAAATAAAGATATAAACCATGTTTAATTGAAGTGTCTTGCTTTTATTATAACTTAGTATATTATAATTATGGCAATACCTCATAATAATGAGAACTAATAATTATGAGATGCAAATTCATGATCATGAGATGCTAAATCATAATTATGAGAGTCATTCTTGAGATAGTAAGTCATTGAGATAGTAAGTCATAATAATGAACACACTAAGTCATAATTGAGTGTCATAATTATGTGATACTAAGTCCTAATTATAAGAAAGTTATAATTGAGTCATAATAATGACATACTGATTTAGAATAATGAGCAAGTCATAATTATGACAGTAAGGCATAATTATGAGATGTTAATGATTGAGATAAAAGCTTTAAATGATGAGAAACATTCTCATTATTATGGGTTACTAAGTCATCATTATGAGAATTTAAGTCATAATTATGAATTTCAATTTTTAATAATTTTTAACCACAACACCAGAAGAGATAGCCTATCAGGGGGAACACATTGTGAACACAATCAAGAATATTTTGAATGTGGTTTTACAAATCGTGAAATCCTAACTTTACTTGCTTGAAAGGCTGAGGTGGCAGCTACTGCAAACCTCTGTTCCTAACTATGCTTGACCTATTGATGGCTACGATACACTTAAAATGCTTAGAATTGGAATAAGTGGTTGTATTGATGGCTTTCCCAGGAGACTTATATGGCTTGAAGCATACAAAAACAATGATCCAAAGGTCACTGCTATTTTATGAATGCAGGGATCAAAGCTGGGGGTTGCCCTAAAAGACTGAGATTAGGTTTAGGAACAGAAAATATTCATGTGGATGAGATGCAAAGATTTTTGCACTTTTCAAAGGATCAATCTGAAACAGACAATGTCACATTTGGTGCAAGCACTGGAAATCAGTGTACTGAAACATAGTGGCTCATCTTGCATAGTGAATGTGTCCAGGTTTAGATTGACCTTTTCAACAAAATGAGAGAGGATGGATACAAATCACTGGTCCAGTTCTGTTTTCTCCTTATAATCTAGATATGAGCTTAACTTAATCATTGCCTACACACACTCTGAGTATGTGTGTTTCACTCATAATTATCACAGGAGACAGCATTATATAACTTTTTTGAAAGAATGAATTAATATTTTACAAGAATGACAAGACAATGTTTATTTATGTGGCCTATTTTCACACTATGTTCAGAATTATATGAGGAATGAGACATTTTAAATGAATTCACAGTCTGTGATTGGTTGCTTTCAGTTATGTAAAACACATCAATTCAGTGAAACTATATACAATTGATGTATGAGAATATGTTTATAGTTGTATTTATGTTATGTATCCAGTATAGTTACATAACCCAATACAGTTCATAACTCAGTTGTGCTTTTCTGCATCACAAGATTACGTTGTATTTAGTTTGAGCATTTGTTCCTCCCAGAATTAAATGCAGTTGCTTCAGCTTGGAACAGCCACAGGATATGTCTAGTCCGCAACTCACCATGTCCACATGGTCACCCATCCATCTTGCATGCAGTTCCTCCACTACACTAAATGGACAAAAGTATTGGGACACACCTCTCAATCATTGAATTCACAGGTTTCATTCAGTCCCGTTGCCACGGGTGTATAAAATCAAGCACAAATTTCTTCCTTCAGAGATATTTCACAAACACCTGTGAGTGGTATTAATGAAAAGTGGAAGCGTTTAGGAACCACTAAAACTCAGCCACGAAGTGGCAGACTGTGTAAAGTTACATAGTGGGGTCGCTATGCACGTAGTGCATAAAAGTCACCAAACCCTCCTCTGGCATTAACATCAGTACAAAAACTGTGCGCCAGGAGCTTAATGGCATGGGTTTCCATGGCCGAGCAGCTGCATGCAAGCCTCACATCACCCAGCCCAATGCCAAGTGTCAGATGGAGTGATGTAAAGTATGCAGCCGCTGGACTCCGGAGCAGCAGAAACGAATTCTGTGGAATGACCAATCACGCTTCTCCATCTGGCGTTCTGATGGACGAATCTGGGTTTGGTAAATGCCAGGAGGATGTTACCTGCCTGACTGTATAGTGCCAACTGTAAAGTTTGGTGGAGGAGGGATAATGCTATGGGGTTGTTTTTTCAGGGGTTGGCCTATGCCTCTTAGTTCCAGTGAGAGGGTGAAGTATATTTAAAAAGGAACATTTTGATAGAAGAAGGTAAAAACACTCTTTCAGCATGAATTTGGGGCGTGGAGGTCTCTGTGTGCTCTGTTTGTGCAGGGGCTAGGAATGTGAATTGGGGGGCCCCTTGGTCCAAAGCCCCATTGGGAGTAGGCCTCTCACTTTCTCCCTTCTTCTCTTAGTTCCAAATAGATGAGATCATTTAAAAAAAAACCATATGTTCTGTCTCCTGTTTCAACAACAAGAACCATATATATATGCTGTTGGTCATCTGTTCGGGAGGGGACATTTAGAATTGGCACAGATCCTCTCTCAGGTACTTTATAGTGCTTGATATGATACTGTTTTACTTTGTAATAAACTTTTTATGAAGAAAACACAGTGTCAGCGGAGTTGTCCATCATCTTCACATCATCGCTACTTAATAAACAACAAGGGCATCTTAATTTTTCAGCATACCATGACTTTTTGTACAATTAGATGCTAAATTTGTGGGAACCATTTGGGCAAGGCCGTTTTCTGTTCCAGCATGACTGTGCCCCAGTGCACAAAGCAAGGTCCTTAAAGCCATGGTTGGGTGAGTTTGGTGTGGAAGAACCACACAGAGCCCTGACCTCATCCCCATCGAACACCTTTGGGATGAAATAAAACGGAGATTGCAAGCCAGGCCCTGTCGTCCAACATCAGTGTCTGACCTCACAAATGCTCTACTGGATGAATGGCTACAGACACCTTCCAAAATCTTGTTGAAGGCTCTCCAAGAATAGTGGAATAGTGGATAAGAGTGTATAGCTTTAAAAAGGGGGGATTCCATATTAATGCCTATGGATTTAGAATGGGATGTCATAAAATCTCCTGTAGGTGTAATGTGTAGGTGTCTCAATACTTTTGTCCATGTAGTGTATATGCAGTCAGGAACTATCTGCAATATGTGGGCCTGGAAAAGGTTAAATCCTGCTTG